ATGAGAGATGCCCCCTCAAAAAAAAAAAAAAAGATCAAATTTCTGATTATAAGCAGATGTTCAAAAAGCTTATACTTGCTATAGATCAATAAATAATTGGAGACATTTCATTTAAAAAAAAAAAGAAATACCAAGGGCCATCTTAAAGTCAATAACTATTGAGTTACTGAACATGGATCAGAACCAGACATAAGGGCTCTGGGACACACCGACTACTTGCCCCTGCGGTGCACAAACACTAACGAATGGTGCTAAGCTGGTTAACTGCCCAATCAGGTGGTTCCTAACACTCTAGTAGCATGATCTGTACAAGCAACAACGCCTTGCCACTCCAAAAAAGCTTGTAATCCATTTCATGTTTTGTTTTAACAAGGACCGTAAATTCTCCAGGAAAGGTATCTTTTCCCTAGCTGAAAGTCCAGGACAGTAAAACATGTTGAGTAAGTTCAGTGAATATAAATGTATCTAATAGGTACATGCCATATAGCATAATGGAAGAAAATAGCAAATGTGAGTGCATTGGTGAGGAAAACCAGATTTCTGCGGGTAGAAAACCAGTGAAGTTAAAGGCCTGCCTCACACTACATACCAAAATGAACTGGCTAACACAGCAAATATGTGATATGAAACTAGAAGCACAGGAAGATAAACATGGGAGAACACTCTTCAACCTTGGGATGTGGAGGACCCTTGTGGGTCTGTTTTTGTATAGTCTTTATAGGAAAGTTCTGTCCAATTTGGCTTCCTAAATTAAAGACTGAGAGCATTTGTAACACGATAGATTAAACATTAATCTCAATCTTTTCAGATTCAGTAAAAGATGACCAGCCCAAAAGAAAAATAACCATAGGATATCAAGAGGTCATTCAGAGAAAGATACACGAATGGCTGATAAATAATATCTTCAGCTTCACTAATAAATAAGAACAAAGTGAAAACGAGATACCCTTGTTGGCATTTAAAGTGGAAAATGTAAAGGAAGAGCGTGTCCGGCGTCAAGTGGCCTCACACACCACACCAGGCGTGGCTGTTTCACGTTTAAAACACCCTCTTTTTGACACAGTAAGTCCACTTGTTATGATGAGAATATATGACTGCTATAATCATTTTAAAGAGGCCGACAGAAACCAAAACCCATGAATGCAGTCCTCAGGGGCCCTGGTCATGGCGCCAAAGCGGGGGGCTGTAGGAGGAACCACTCTTGGGCCTGTGGAAGGGCAGAGACAGATGGCAGGTGCTGTGTGTGTGCAGGGCACACGGGTCTGCAGACCCTACCTCCACTCGGGGTTGAAACTCCCCTCGGTCTGGGGGCTCTTCAGCTTCAAGACCATCATCTCATGGAGCTCCAGGAGGAAGGCGTCCAGGCTCGTCTGGTGCAGGAAAGTGCTGAGGAGCTTGGCGTTTTCCGGGCTGAGATCAGCTTTGTACCTTGACTTGATTTCGCGAAACGGTTCCTAAAATGAAGCAAGGACAAAGGAAATGGTAGTGCGCAGGAGGAGCGCCGAGCGATCCCCCCCGTCCAGGCGGGGAAGGGAGCGCGAGCGATCCCCACGTCCAGGCGGGGAAGGGAGCGCGAGCGATCCCCCGTCCAGGAGGGGACTTACTTTGTTCAGCCGGAGCAGCTGTTCAGATCTGTGGGCAGAGAGGAGCTGCCAGAGGGCAATCGTGTGTTTTAACTGGCACCAGCGTAAGGCCTGCAAGAGTGACAGTTCCTGAGCAGGAGGCCCACTGAGTGCCGGTCACATGAGCACAGCTCCCACCTCTGCCCCGTGTGGATTTCATTTCCCTCCTAAGAAGGCTGTCTCTGTTCCCTCCACGAATTCCCCTGCCTCATCCATACCAAGTGCCTGGAAAGCCCCCACCCGTCGGCATCTCAGAGCCCATCCACTGCTGACCCCCTTGGGTCTAGATTCTTATGTCCCGCCCGCATCTCTGCGTCTGCCGCCAGAGTGTGTTCTGTTTACCCCGTGGCTGGGCTGCGTGAGGGGCTGTTCTCGCCTCCCTTTCTGAGCTGCCTGGATGGTAGCAATGCTGCAGGGAGTCAGTGAGGGGAGGGCAGTGCTCACTGCCTTTCAAGGGAACCCACAAGGCAGACCCACCTTTAACACCAGCATTGTCTGGCTGTCCATCTGCAGCATGTCTTGGATATACTCGTTCAAGTGCATGTTGGGATCCCCGCCAGCTGTGCTCAGAAACCCCAAAGTGATCTCTATGACAGACAGGGCTTCACAGGCATCGCTGTAGGATGGCAGCTGTCCACTGATGGTGCTGATAGCCGAGTTGGGGAGAGAGTTCTAGGAAAGCAAGGACGGAACAAGTCTGTGGGCGGGGCTCCACGCACAAAGCTACGGTGAGAGCCCCTGGCTTCCTGGCTGCCAGGGCCCGAGGGTGGGGCGGACTCTGCGAGGACAGTCAGTGCTTAGTCCTTCCTAAGCGTCGGCACTATTCCAGGTATTTTACAGAAACAGACGTGACACCCTGGAGCCTTCCAGCCTGGCAAGGGGACACCCCTCCACCGACATGCACCCCCCCACTCTCCCCACCCCACACACAGACAAAAGAGCAGGAGTAAGTTCTCTGGACCTTTACATCAGCACACACAGTCATGACACCATTACTAAGAGGCTTGACGCCACAAGATTTCCACCTGTTTATACCCAACAAGAAGACCTGCTGATTTGCCGTCCCGCTCGCCCTTTGGAAGGGAGCACTGGACTCAGGGAACTTAGGGAGGCCACTGACACTCCTTGGTTCTCACAGTGAACACCAGGAGTGAGGGCGGAACGCCCCTAACAGGGATGGAAGCACCCAGGTCAGACAGAAGCACCAGGCACCCGGAGGAGCGGGCCGCCGTGATCACCTGCGGCATCTTGTTCTTGATGTCCACAAAGAGGTGCTCATAGTTCCAGTCACGTCTGTACACCAGAGTGGGTATTCCCTAGGGTGGGAAAGACAACAGCATTTGGAAATGGAATGCATAATGGAGGGTCTACCTTTGCTGAATGAGATGAGCAGCGCTCAACTGCAGAGCCAGGCTACTCGGTGTGTCACTGGGCGGAGCATGCCATTGGCATGTGATGTGCGTGTCTTACCCACAGTCTACGGGAACATTAACACAACAAGGGGGCAGCCTAGCCAGGTGGCCAAGCAGACACCATAGGATAATGGGGGCTTGGGGACCGCGGGGCAGCCCCCACCTGTGCACTCACTCCACAGGACTGCACAGACCGCGAACATGGCAGGCACCACTCAGCAGGGGTCACAGAGGAATTAGGAGCGGCCTTGGGCTCAAACAGTTTGCAGCCTAGCTGAGCAGTGAGGGAGAACAGACCTGCCTATGTGTGGTGCCTTCCACAGCCCGGGAAGGCACGGCCTGGTCCAAGGACAGGTGTGGAGTGCCTGGTCTTGGGGGGAGTAACCCATGTGTGGGGCCAGAGGCGTCAGGGCGGGAGGCATGGTGACCAACTGGAAGCGGGGTTGGGGCCGGGCCTCAGGGAGTATGGCTTTATCCCTGGGCAGTAGGATGTGTCCGGCTGTCCACTGGCATGATGGGGTCCGGACTCAGAAATATGAACTGAGGAAACCACAGGTGGAGCCAGTGGGAGCTACTGCAGTGGCGGGACTGGAGGCCAGCTGCTCGGACTGAAAGCAGGGGCTGGGGCAGCGAACTGAGGGACACCTGATGCAGACTGTGTGGAGGCCACAGGAAAAGGGGGCAGAATGGGAGAGGATTCTGTATGTCAAGACACCCCAGGGGCGCTGAGGTCAGAGGTGATGCAGAAGATGGCTCAGGAGGGCCGTGGGTGCAGAGACACAGACAGAAAGGTGGCTGTGGCCCCGGGGAAGTGAACAAGGCCGACGAGACAGCCACGCCTCACTCCTGCTTGCTCCGGAACTGCTGCATTCAAAGCCACAGCCAGGGCCACTTGCAAGCCAGCCGTGCTGACCGAACCAGCAGCTGGGTCGGCCGTACCTTGAGGGTTATCCTGGGCTTGCCCAGCAGGAACCGGCTGGTGAGCTGCCGCTGGATCTTCTCCAGGTCAAACTCCTGCAGGGTTTCGCGGCCTTGCTCTACTTTATATTGGCAGTTGGAGAGAACCAGTGGATTCAGGTCTCGCTCCACCTCGTAACTGATGACATGCAGGTCAGTGACCTCAGAGGTATTGATGGAATAGCTGAGAGACATCAGGACACGGCACTCAGAGTCCCGGGCAAGCACACGCGGCCTGGGGCTCTGGGTCACGCAGAGCCAGGTCCTGTTTGCTCTTCTCACTGGCTGAGCAGGCAGGAACGACACACTCATGTGTGGGCACTGGTGAGCGTGGCTGAAGGAGTGTTTTGTCAAGAGTTGGAGCTGAAGTTTGGCACCTCTGCCCTCACAAGCCAGGGGACCCTGCTCAATTCACCTCAGAAATGACACCTCCTGGGTGAAAGGGCCCCGCCTCCTGCAGCTCCTGCACTCACCTGTTGTTCTCATTGGAGAACTTTTCCACTGTGTAGACAATTTCGTTGTGCAGGGCAATCAGGTAGCTGACTAAGGCAGTGGAGCAGAGGCCCAGGTCCCGGCGACGCGGCAGAATGACCTCGAAGTCAGCGTCCAGATCCAAGTCTGTGCTGCAGTATTCTTTAGGCAGCTTGATCTCACCTTTCAACAGCAAGTTATTCTTATAAGCAGAGAGGCAGCCATCTCCATGCTGCTCCTGTCACTCCCTCAAGGCCGGGGAGTCCGGCATGTGGGGCAAGAGCGAGGCTACACAGAGGTCTCCTCACCCCACCTGAGCTGCTGCAAACAGATCGGGTTCTGCTTCCGATCTCTCTTAAGTGCTGAAGAATTCCCAGTGTCCTCAACTCCTTTTCAATTCCAAATTTATAGATGCAAGGGGACCGAGGGCTCGTTTTTCCTGACTGTCATTTCACTTATCCCAGACGCCTCCCCAGAAAGACTCAGCCCCAGCGTCCAGCACAGGGGGTACCAACGCCCGTGTGTGCAGTACGGGGCAGGAGAGCTACGTCGGGGAGAAGCAGCTTTCAGAACAGGATGCAGGACACTTACCCCTGGTCTCCAGCGATCTCCTCAGCTTGTTCCATGTCGACAGAAAGATGGAGATTCTGTTGTGGAGTAACTTCCTCAACCCATCTGTCAAACCAAACATGTTTAAGAGCCCGTGACAATAACCGCCCACTCTAGCTCAAACCTGCATCATTACATGCTCATTGGAAGAACCCAACTTTGAACCTCATGTGTTCAACATGTCCCGAATGCTGCTGAGCCTGTGGAGCCACGACAGGGTGCTTTCAGCTGCAGCAAAGCTTCTAATGTGTTTTGGGGTTCATGGCATTGCTTCATGCCATGAAAAATCTCAGGTATAGAGCCACCCACAGCTGTGCCCACCCCGGCCAGTGGAGTGCTCACCCTGAACCACTAAACACAGACAGTACTGGTGTCTTACTAGACCGGAGTCATACCTGAATTTTGGCTTCCGATAAAACCTCGGATAGATTGGTATTCAACTTCTGAAACATTCTGGAATTGTTCCACAAGACTCCTTTGCAGGGCCAAAATCTCGGGCAAGAATTTCACCAGCCTCAGTTCTGCTTCCTGGAGAAGTCAAGCACACGCGGCCTGGGGCTCTGGGTCACGCAGAGCCAGGTCCTGTTTGCTCTTCTCACTGGCTGAGCAGGCAGGAACGACACACTCATGTGTGGGCACTGGTGAGCGTGGCTGAAGGAGTGTTTTGTCAAGAGTTGGAGCTGAAGTTTGGCACCTCTGCCCTCACAAGCCAGGGGACCCTGCTCAATTCACCTCAGAAATGACACCTCCTGGGTGAAAGGGCCCCGCCTCCTGCAGCTCCTGCACTCACCTGTTGTTCTCATTGGAGAACTTTTCCACTGTGTAGACAATTTCGTTGTGCAGGGCAATCAGGTAGCTGACTAAGGCAGTGGAGCAGAGGCCCAGGTCCCGGCGACGCGGCAGAATGACCTCGAAGTCAGCGTCCAGATCCAAGTCTGTGCTGCAGTATTCTTTAGGCAGCTTGATCTCACCTTTCAACAGCAAGTTATTCTTATAAGCAGAGAGGCAGCCATCTCCATGCTGCTCCTGTCACTCCCTCAAGGCCGGGGAGTCCGGCATGTGGGGCAAGAGCGAGGCTACACAGAGGTCTCCTCACCCCACCTGAGCTGCTGCAAACAGATCGGGTTCTGCTTCCGATCTCTCTTAAGTGCTGAAGAATTCCCAGTGTCCTCAACTCCTTTTCAATTCCAAATTTATAGATGCAAGGGGACCGAGGGCTCGTTTTTCCTGACTGTCATTTCACTTATCCCAGACGCCTCCCCAGAAAGACTCAGCCCCAGCGTCCAGCACAGGGGGTACCAACGCCCGTGTGTGCAGTACGGGGCAGGAGAGCTACGTCGGGGAGAAGCAGCTTTCAGAACAGGATGCAGGACACTTACCCCTGGTCTCCAGCGATCTCCTCAGCTTGTTCCATGTCGACAGAAAGATGGAGATTCTGTTGTGGAGTAACTTCCTCAACCCATCTGTCAAACCAAACATGTTTAAGAGCCCGTGACAATAACCGCCCACTCTAGCTCAAACCTGCATCATTACATGCTCATTGGAAGAACCCAACTTTGAACCTCATGTGTTCAACATGTCCCGAATGCTGCTGAGCCTGTGGAGCCACGACAGGGTGCTTTCAGCTGCAGCAAAGCTTCTAATGTGTTTTGGGGTTCATGGCATTGCTTCATGCCATGAAAAATCTCAGGTATAGAGCCACCCACAGCTGTGCCCACCCCGGCCAGTGGAGTGCTCACCCTGAACCACTAAACACAGACAGTACTGGTGTCTTACTAGACCGGAGTCATACCTGAATTTTGGCTTCCGATAAAACCTCGGATAGATTGGTATTCAACTTCTGAAACATTCTGGAATTGTTCCACAAGACTCCTTTGCAGGGCCAAAATCTCGGGCAAGAATTTCACCAGCCTCAGTTCTGCTTCCTGGAGAAGGAAAGACCACCCAGGACCACTGTGATTGTCCTGTAAGATACCACTGGGGAAATGGGCTCTGGGCTGCCCAGGACCTGCACCTGTCATCTAATCCGGTCAATGCCCCATGTTATATGATGGCACACCGAGGTGCCCGAAAGTGGGGAAAGGCCACCACCTTCTTCCAGCAAGCACCTATGGGCTGCTTGCAGTGTGCCAGCCACTGTTCCACACTCCAGGTATGAGGGAGTGGAGACAAGCCCCTGCCCTCATGGGGCTGACACATGAAAGAAAGCAGCGTCTGGGGCCCATGTGGAGGGCGGGCTGTGCAGAGAAGCTGCTGAGAGCAGACCAGGTGCTGAGGCCCTGGTGCTGGGTGTGACCCTGGCTGTCTTCTGAGGGCCTAGGAGCTCAGCAGCTTCAATTACTGGCACTTTGCACCTTGGTGAGAGATTGGTCTTAATGAGTCTTTCTACTGGGAACTCATTTTCTTTAACTGACCACCAGAAATTTCTGAGTCATCTAACCTCTTGCTAGGCTAAAAATACTGGTCCACAGAGAAAATGATTAGAAAAGCTATTACAGAAAAGTTCGAATGAAATAAAGTTAGAAACAGTGTCCATTTCTGGTTCTGATGCGACAGACACGTATGCTCCCCTCCCTGCCACCCACCCCCACCGACTCACTCGCGTCTCCAATCTAAGGCTTGGTGGTTTAGGAACAAGGATGTTTCTGTTGTCTGATTTCATCATGCATCCTGACTACAGTCTTTTCATCTCCCAGACACCCCCTGGAGACCAAGTGCTCCCAGCACGGGGCCAACAAAGACAGACAGACACGGCATGGAAAGATTCGTGCCCTATTCTTTTGCTAAGTGACTGGGGAGATAGCCTTTACACTCTATTAAAGACCAAAGCACTGGAGGATCAAACAAGATTGAGGCACGAGAAGTGAAGCAGAAACCTCCTCCCATAACCACATATAACACGAAAATGCAGCAAAGAGAACTAATCCTGAAAGTGACTGGAAAGAAGACTTCAACAGACAGTCTACATCTGGGGAAAAGAGAAGACCTCATGGAAAAGGATAAATAGCAAAGCCGTGATCCGACGGGACCCAAGCCCTGCCCCCAACCCCAGGCTCAACAGCGGGAGGAAGAGAAACAGAGTCGGGGGGGGGGGGTAGAAGCCCAGGACTGCTGAACACCCACCCCTGGAGATGTGCTCTGGGAGCACGAACCCACATTACATGGTGCTCTGGAGATTAGAGGGGCTGGAAAACAAAGACAGGTGGAATACTCAGAAAGACTGAGATTCCAGCTGCTTGAGGTACCCACAACTGTTTGTTCCAGGACAAAAGAAAGATGGGCACTTTGAAAAACTTCCCAACATGAGAGGGCTGCTAAGGAGGCAAGGAGTGCACAGAGCTTGCTGCTCAGGAGAAAGGACAGGTGGACAAAATCATCCCGGAGCACTCAGCCCAGCAGGTTGGGAACTTTCAGAAGCTTCATGCATTCCATCCCTCTGGCTGGTAACGCAGTGCTAAGGCCCCACAATGCGATACACAGCCTGCCGCTCCTTCCTCCCGGCTGGCACTGGATTGCAAACCTGCTGCCCCTGCCATTGTGACAGGCCAGGCAGAGGGCAGCCCTGCCTATGGCAGCTACAAGGGCATAACACAGACGCTCCTCCCTACGCGCTTGGCCCACTGGCCCTGGCAGTGGAGGCAGGCACTGCAGCCGGGAAGCAGGAAAGAGCTCTTTCCTCCTGGCAGGCACCAGCGCCGCTCGCCTGCGACCCCCCACCATCGCTCCAGGAGCCGGGCAGCTCCAGAGAGTAGAGCTTCTGGGCACTGGCGAACGCCAACTACACAAACCTATTATCCCATAGTAATCATCAGAAATATGAAATGGCAGAAGAAACTGGTACAAACCCAAATCCCTCAAACACCAGAAAGGGCTAAATGAAACTGAAATCATCAATCTTCTTGATAAAGATTTCAAAATAAAAATCATAAACATGCTCACAGAGCTACAGAAAATATTTAAGACCTCAGGGAGGAGTTCAAGAAAGAAACTTTGAAAAATACAGTATCTGAAATCACACATACAATGGAGGGATTTAAAAGCAGATTAGGTGAGGTAGAGGAGATGGTAAATGAAAAGAAATTAGAGAACAGGAATACAAAGAAGCTGAGGAAAAGAGATAAAAAGATCTCTAGGAATGAAAGAATATTAAGAGAACTGTGCTACCAATCCAACCAGAACAATATTCACATTATAGGGGTACCAGAAGAAGGAGAGAGAGAAAAAGGGATAGAAAGTCCCTTTGAGGAAATAATTGCTGAAAATTTCCCCGATCTGGGGAAGGAAATAATCTCTCAGGCCTTGGAAGTGCACAGATCTCCCAGCACAAGAGATACTAGGAAGACATATAATAATTAAAACGGCAAATATCAAGGACAAGGACAGACTACTAAAAGCAGCCAGAGAGAGATAAAATATCACATACAAAGGAAAGCCCATCAGGCTATCATCAGACTTCTCCGCAGAAACCCTACAGGCCAGAAGGGAGTGGCAGGATGTACTTAATGCCATGAAAAGAAGGGCCTGGAACCAAGATTACTCTACTCGGCAAAATTATCATTTAAATTTGAAGGAGGGACTAAACAATTTCCAGATAAGCAAAAGGTGAGGGAATTTACCTCCCACTAATCATCTCTACAGTGTATTCTGGAGGGACTGCTCTAGATGGATATGCTCCTAAGGCTAAACAGCTGTCACCAGAGAAAAGAAAATCACAGTAAGGGAAGCAGACCAATTAATTACGAAGCAACTGCAAAATTAATTCAAATACCCACAAAGTCAGTCAAGGGATACACAAAGAGTGCAGAATATGACACCCAATATAAAAAGAGTGAAGGAGGAAGAAAAAGAAGGGAGGAAAACAAACAGAACCTTTAGATTGTGTTTGAAATAGTGTAATAAGCAAGTTAAGTTAGACTGTTACATAGTAAAGAAGCTGCCCTTGAACCTTTGGTAAACCACAAATCTAAAGCCTGCAATGGCAATAAATCCCTCTAAATGTAAATGGACTGAATGCACCAATCAAAAGACACAGAATTACAGAATAGATAAAAAAACAAGACCCATCTATATGCTGCCTACAAGACACTCACTTTAAACCCAAAGACATACACAGACTAAAACTGAAGGGATGGAAAAAGATATTTCATGCAACTAATAGGGAGAAAAAAGCAGGAGTTGCAGTACTTGTATCAGACAAAATAGACTCAAAACAATGATAATAAGAAACAAAGAAGGATATTACATAATGATAAAGGGCTCAGTCCAACAAGAGGATATAACCATTATAAACATATATGCACCCAATACAGGAGCACCAGCATATGTGAAACAAATACTAACAGAATTAAAGGGGGAAATAGACTGCAATGCATTCATTCTGGGAGACTTCAACACACCACTCACTCCAAAGGACAGATCCACCAGACAGAAAATAAGTAAGGACACAGAGGCACTGAACAACACACTAGAACAGATGGACCTAATAGACATCTACAGAACACTCCACCCAAAAGAGCAGGATACACATTCTTCTCAAGTATACATGGAACTTCTTCCAAAATAGATCACATACTAGGCCACAAAAACAGCCTCAATAAATTTAGAAGGATTGAAATTCTACCAACTAGCTTAGACCATACAGGTATGAAACTAGAAATGAATTATGCAAAGAAAACAAAAAGTCCACAAACGCATGGAGGCTCAACAACTTGCTCCTAAATAATCAATGGATCAGTGACCAAATAAAAATAGAGATCAAGCAATATATGGAGACAAATGAAAACAACAATCCACACCCCAAAATCTGTGGGATGCAGCAAGGGCAGTTCTAAGAGGAGAGTATATTGCAATACAGGCCTACCTCAAGAAAGAATAATAATCTCAAATGAATAGTCTAAACTCACAATTAATGAAAACAGAAAAAGAACAAATAAGGCCTAAAGTCAGTAGAAGGAGCAATCTAATAAAGATCAGAATGAAACCAGGAGCTGGTTCTTTGAGAAAGTAACAAAATAGATAGACCTCTAGCCAGACTTATCAAGAAAAAGAGTGTACACACATAAGCAGAATCAGAAATAAGAAAGGAAACATCACTATGGACACCACAGAAATACAAAGAATTATGGAGAATACTATGAAAAATTATATGCTAACAAACTGGATAACCTAGAAGAAATGGACAACTTTCTAGAAAAATACAACCTTCCAAGACCAACCCAGGAAGAAACAGAAAATCTGAACAGACCAATTACCAGCAATGAAATTGAACTGGCAATCAAACAAACCCCTGAAGCAGATGGCTTCACTAATGAATTTTATCAAACATTTAGAGAAGACCTGATACCTATCCTCTTCTTAAAGTTTTCCAAAAAGCAGAAGAGGGAATACTTCCAAACTAATTTTATGAGGCCAGCATCACTCTAATACCAAAACCAAAGGACAACACACCCACAAAAAAGAAAATTACAGACCAACATCCCTGATAAACATAGATGCAAAAATACCAAATACTAGCAAACCAAATTCAAAAATATATCGAAAAGATCATCCATCATGATCAAAGTGGGCTTTATTCCAGGGATGCAAGGATGGTACAATATTCAAAAATCCATCAACATCATCCACCACATCAACAAAAAAGACAAAAATCTCCATAGATGCTGAAAAAGAATTTGACAAAATTCAACATCCATTCGTGATAAAAACTCTCAATGAAATGGGTATAGAGGGCAAGTACCTCAACGTAATAAAGGCCATATACGACAAACCTCCAGGCAACATCATAGTAACAGCAAAAAGCTGAAAGCTTTTCCTCTAAGATTGGGAAAAAGACAAGAATGCCCACTCTCTTCACTTTTATTCGATATAGTACTGGAGGTCCTGCGGCAATCAGGCAACACAAAGAAATAAAAGGCATCCGGATTGGTAAGGAAGAAGTTAAACTTCCACTGTTTGCAGATGACATGATATTGTACATAAAAAAACCCTAAAAAATCCACCCCAAAACTACTGGAATAACTGAATTCAGTAAAGTTGCAGGATACAAAATTAATACACAGAAATCTGTTGCGTTCCTATATACTAATGATGAATTAGCAGAAAGAGAAATCAGGAAAATAATTCCATTCACAACTACGTCAAAAAGAATAAAATAACCAGGAATAAACCTAACCAAGGAGGTGAAAGACCTATACCCTGAAAACTACAAGACACTCATGAGAGAAATTAAAGAAGACACCAATACATGGAAATACATCCCGTGCTCATGGATAGGAAGAATTAATATTTGTCAAAATGGCCATCCTGCCTGAGGCAATCTACAGATTCAATGCAATCCCTATCAAAATACCAACAGCATTCTTCAACAAACTAGTTCTAAAATTCATATGGAACCACAAAAGACCCCAAATAGCCAAAGCAATCCTGAGAACGAAGAATAAAGCAGGGGGGGATCTTTCTTCCCAACTTCAAGCTCTACTACAAAGCCACAGTGATCAAGACAATTTGGTACTGGCACAAGAACAGACCCACAGACCAGTGGAACAGCATACAGAGCCCTGATATAAACCCAAACATATATGGTCAATTAATATATGATAAAGGAACCATGGATATACAATGGGGAAATGACAGCCTCCTCAACAACTGGTCTTGGCAAAACTAGGCAGCTACATGTAAGAGAATGAACGTGAATTATTGTCTAACTCCATATACAAATGTAAACTTGAAATGCATCAAAGACCTGAATGTAAGTCATGAAACCATAAAACTCTTAGAAGAAAACATAGGCAAAAATCTCTTGAATATAAACATGAGCAACTTTTTCCTGAATACATCTCCTCAGGCAAGGGAAACAAAAGCAAAAATGAGCAAATGGGACTACATCAAACTAAAATGCTTCTGTACAGCAAAGGACACCATCAACAGAACAAAAAGGCATCCTGCAGTATGGGAGAATATATTAAAAAATGACGTATCCAATTGGGGTTGACATCCAAAATATATAAACAGCTCACATGCCTCAACACCCAAAAAGCAAATAACCTGATTAAAAAATGAGCGGAGGATCTGAACAGACACTTCTCCAAAGAAAAAATTCAGATGGCCAATAGGCATATGAAAAGATACTCCACATTGCTAATAATCAGGGAAATACAAATCAAAACCCCAATGAGATATCACCTCACACCAGTTAGGATGGCCACTATCAGAAAGACTAAGAACAACAAATGGCGAGGCTGTGGAGAAAGGGGAACCCTCCTACACTGCTGGTGGGAATGTAAATTAGCTCAAGCATGTGGAAAGCAGTATGGAGGTTCCTCAAAAACTAAAAATAGAAATACCATCTGACCCAGGAATTCCACTGCTAGGAATTTACCCAAAGAACACAAGATACCAGATTAAAAAAGACAAGCACCCCGATGTTTATCGCTGCACTATTTACAATAGCCAAGATATGGAAGCAACCTAAGTGTCCATCAGTAGATGAATGGATAAAGAAGAGGCGGTACATATACACAATGGAATATTATTCAGCCATAAGAAGAAAACAGATCCTACCATTTGCAACAACATGGATGGAGCTGGAGGGTATTATGCTCAGTGAAATAAGCCAGGCAGAGAAAGACAAGTACCAAATGATTTCACTCATCTGTGGAGCATAACAAAACAAAACTGAAGGAATGAAACAGCAGCAGACTCAGAGACTCCAAGAAGGGACTAGCAGTTAACAAAGGGAAGGGAGTGGGGATAGTATATGGGGAGGGAGGGAGCAGGAGATTAAGGGGCATTATGATTGGCACATATACTGTGGGAGAGTCAGGGGGGGGAAGGCAGTGTAGCTCAGAGAAGACAAGTAGTGATTCTATAGCATCTTACTACGCTGATGGACAGTGACTGAAATGGAGTGTGGGGGGAGTTGGTAATAAGGGTGCATGTTATAATTATAATGCTGCTCATGTGAAACCTTCATAAGATTATATATCAATGATACCTTAAAAAAATGTGTGTGTGTGCATATATATATAAAGCAATAATAAACAAATAAATAAAACCCAAAGCACTGAAGCAGTCTGTGAGATGTCCCACCCTGAGGAACGATCAGACCACACACAGGCAGGGCCTTTAAGTCTGCAGGGGGCATCTGGGCAGGTGGTCGAGGAGTGAACTTACCTTCTGTAGGAACTTCCAAAGAACAGGCACGGTCTCCTTGCCGTTTCTCTGCTCCACGATGTGCTGGAGGTGCTCCAAGGTGACCCTCTGCCTGCAGGCCCACATCTTAGAGCTGTGAACCATGCTGCCCCGGGGCAGGTGGGGCAGGAAGGACACTGGGTCACCGAATATGATTTTGGCCACAGGGTCAGAACTGATGCGCTCGTCTTGGCTGATTCGAGTATTCACCATGAGGAGGGTCTTATCGAGATTCTAGGTGAAGAAAAGGATACGGAATCCTGGAAGTGAGACACGTCCGCGGCAGACCGGGTCCGTGCACGTGCTGCCTGGTGATTCTGAGTGAGTTAGGGGGTCTGCCATACTCCCTTCAGCACAAGGCCAAACAATCACATTGTTATCTTGTTATTTACATGTTCCTTTTTGTGTGGTTAGGATCCCCCGTAGAATGCAGCTCGGGGCCCTGTGACTCATTCCGCCCTTTACTTCCTGAGCCTTGTTCTGAGGATGGCTCAGGTACTCTCCTAACAGAGCGCTTTCAGTGGGTCTGAGTGACAGCTCATCTCTATCCTGCTGTAAAAGGTATCGGAGAGAAAACTCTCGCTGCACCTCCTGGACCCAGTAATCCTCACCCTGACTCACGGGCAGCCTTGGACAACAGGGGCGTCCCCGGCCACGGGGCCCGAGCCGGCAGGCACACGAGGTGCTGGGCAGAGCGCTCGGCCAATGCCCAACAAACCTGGACGGCCCGGTTGCTGCCGTCACTCACCACGTACCTGCAGCTCAGGTAAGACAATGCGCGAAACAAGCTTCTCCCAGGTGTTTCTCATTTCTTTGGTAGACAGAGTTGGGTCCAACTTTCCAGGGCCTGCAAAGAACACGGTGTGGGTTACCCAAGGAGCAAACACAGCCACCTACCTAGGGTCAACACCAAATACCCAGCAAACTGAAATCTAGCTCCTTCTGGGCAGCTGGCTTCCTAAGTCAGGCTGAGTATTAGGGACGCCCCTGGCTGCTGCCATCAGCGCTCCGAGCTTCGTGCGGGTGCCTTGGCCTCCGAAGGCTCTGACGCATGGGGCTGTGACGGGAAGGCCATTCTGAACAAAGTGCCCGGAAGGACAGCATTTTGAATCAGAGGCCCAGGGGCCCCATGACAGTGGCCAGGACCACCCCCGGCCACCTCAGCTGGCTCTGGACCCTGCGGGGGCCGCCTGTGAGACGCCGGCTGCTGCCCGCACCACCGGCGCACTCCTGGAATGCGGCCACTCGGTCAGTGTGAGGCGGGGTGGGCTCACCTAGTCTGGAATCACACCAGAATGAGCAGCTTAAAAAATCTAATTTTGCTAAATGCAAAACACATACTGGTACCGGATTCTGGCAATGAAGCACCCAAAGTGGGAAAGGATTTTCTTGTTGTGTGGAAGGGCTTCTTAAATGCTGTTATTACTACTTAAAATAACATTGTCATTACAGTAATCGTTTTAGAAGGTTTTTTGCAGATCAGCAAAAAGAAGGTAAGATCACTCTTAACTCCTCCACTCGGACATAACCATTTTACTAAGGTGGCTCAGAGACTTTTTCTTTTTATGGATTTAAATTTGTAAAATGGACAAATAAGCTCCATGAACACCATACTTTGTAGCCTGCTTTTCGTGTAACACACGGTGGGCATCTGAACATACCGAGTCAGCCTGCGACTAGAGTACTTTTTTAGGAAAAGCAGAAGTTATCCCCCAAAATAGGGCAGATGTACAAAGAGAACGAGTTCCACGCAGTCATCCAACATTCACCTCTGCTGGAGACGCATCTTTAACACAACTGCCTGTTCCGGACGATCCACACTCCCCCTGCAGGGGGTGGATTACACACTAGGCTGATTCTTGAAACTGCAAAGCCTCCCCTCATACACACGCACTGAACACTCCTGTGCCAGTGATTCCGAAATTGCAGGTCCCGACCCAACGGCAGTAAAGGCGCCGCCTTCGCCCGCCATGCCTCGGTGTCCCTCGGGAGCTGTGAGCAGCAAGCCTGCCCGCTGTGCAGCTGTGCCGAGGCACCCCGGCCCCGGGCCCTTACACTGGTCGGGGCGCTGCTGCTGCCCCCGGAGGAGGCCGCACAGGACGACGTGCACCGCGCTCATGCTCTCGTCCGCGCTCCTCCCCAGCGTCTTGGCCAAGTGCTCCAGGTCCCTGTGAATGTGCAGCTGCAGGAACCCCTTCGGATCTCTCACTGGAGGCTTGATGATGTTTACCAGAGCCTGTGGGGGCGACGAGACGAAACAGGGGATGAGACCTTGTTTGCAGGGAGACGGCGAGCTCAGCAAGGTCATGCAGAACGAGACTAGCGCTGAGCCAGGGGACGGCCTCCAAGACAGCAAGCACTCTTCCCGGAGAGACGGAGCGTGAGTCCAGGAGCCGAGGCGGGAGAAGGTGGGGGCGCCGAGGCGCGAATGGCCGCAGCCTGAGAACGGCTGCCGTTCACAGGGGCGCAGGGAACTGCGAAGCCTGAGCGGTGCTATCGTGACCCAATTAACTTAGAGGGAACGCAGTGCGTGTTCTTTCTTCCCCAGAGCTACAGGGAAGACGTGTAAAATCGTGATTCTCTTAGCCTCTCCACCCCGAGCTGTGGATGGAAGACACAGACTGTTCATTTAAAACGGAGGTTATATAATCTGATGAATAGTCCCCCCCATATGCCACTGTGGGAAAAGTTAGGATGTATAATTTTATGTTACTCCGTGGATTAGGTAGCAGTGACATTCCAAATCCACAGGAAGTGGCTAGGGCTTCTCAGACAGCAGTGCTCAGTGTGAAAACCTGCAGCAGGTCACGACTCTCATAACTAGACACGTAGCCTGGTGGCAACACGCTTACCTGGTGGTTCTGAGCAGCTCCCCAAAGCATAGCCAAATGAGTGAGCAGCCGCAGGAGGAGGAAGGCGGCCGGGGACAGCTGTCGGTCAGACACCACCGCCTCGCCTCTGCGCTGCGGGTACCCCAGCACGTGGCCGGTCTGAGTTCTGTCTGCGCCATTGCTGGAAAGGACGAGAGAAGACACGATGAGGCCTGAAGACGGTCACTTCTTGGCTCTGGGGTGCACACTGCAGGGCCTTGGCATGCGGAGACTCGGTCCACAGCGTTGAAGGAAACCGTGTTAAAAGTACTTCTTAGTCTACCAAGCCCAGACCACGTTCCTGAGTCTTTCTTTGTAGACTCACCTGTCCGGCAGACCAAAAGCCCACAACATTCTCAGTGGGAAGTGGCCGCACCGGGTGGCTGCACGCTCCCTGCGCCCTGTGTGAGGATGGGTCTGCGCCTGCCTCATCCACGGAAACTACTGTGGGCCGAGGAGCAGGCACGCTGGCGGCAGCCGGAGCTTAGGACACTCGGCTCCCATGTGGGGATTTGTGTGCACTGGTCTCATTTTCCCGAATCGAACCTGGGATTCAGGGTCTGTGAGGATTTTGTAGCAACCCAGATGGGAGGTGCAGAATAACAGATATATTCAGTTCCAAAGATCTTAAGAGATCCTAGGACATTCTGATAGTCCATGGAGATGACAGCTGAGACTATATTAAACTGTAAACTGCACCTGAATAGTCAGCATGTACAATGGCCATGGAGAGGCCACACCTGCCACCCCAAGGCAACATTTACAACCATACTTGTTTCACGAGTAAGTGTGTGATTCTAGATCAGATTTGTATCTGGATTCTGAAGTATTTGATAGGACTGACTATGTCTCGACTTCACTTTTCTCAAAAAATAAAGCAAGCTAAGTGCATTCACAAGTGATGCCAAGGCCCAGTCTTTGGTTTTGCAAACTCAAAATGTTGTTCTGAATTAGGTCACCTGTGTATATCAAACATATTTCTACAGGCAGCATGGCCCAGGTCTTGGTGGAAGACATCTATTCAGCAAATACGAGTTAAGTATTAAATTAATAGCATTCTTAGCATTTGAGAACCCAGTTAGCCAGTGACAGGTCCAGCGTCTCACTGTTGTACAACTATGGGACCTTGGCAACAGTACCCAACAGGACAAAGGCCAAGTATACCGGGGTGATCAATGCTGCACTTAGTGTCAGTTTATCAGAAGAAAGAGTTAAGAGCCCCCAAAGTCTGGAAGCCTGTGGTTTAACTACTTAAAAGGGAAATACAATCTTACGTACACGATAAGATGAAACCCATCACGAGGTTTGTGATCAGTTCCTCCAATGGGCGCGTGGCAGTCAACACAGAAGCTCTGTTCCATCGGCAGGCCACACTAGGGCAGACAGAAGGGACACAAGCTCCACTTGGGGGCCAGGGCCGCTCTGCACACGAGCACTACCAGGCCACAGAGGCACCGGCACAGGGGTGGTCAGTGCCACAAGGCTATGTCAGGGGCAGGCGCTCCACGCCAGTTATGTTGTATATGGGCCAATCCGGGTTTTTGTTTGGAACAGCAGAGACAACCTAAGTTTCATTCTCCAGTAGAAACCTCACTAATACATGAAACCCATCTTCCTTCCCAAAGGCCTCCACCGTCCCCGCGCTTCGGAATCCAGCCGCAGACAGTACAGCAGCTCCCTAACTGGTTCCTCAGCTTCTTGTGAACCTGCTGACTTAGAAAAATGTAACCATACGATTTACTACTTCCAAAGGCTCGTTTTTCCAAATCAGACCATCCGCTAGAGAACACAGAGAACCACAGCCTGTAGCACACCGAACCAGTCTGACTCCCAGACCACGGGATCTCAGAGCTGACGGCAATCTTGGGAAGAATGCATTTCAAACTCATTTCATGATGAGGAAGTGACTGAATCTCAGAAAGGTGGAGTTTATGCACCAGTTATTTTCTGCCTGTGTCTCATTTACTTCATTAAATAACATTCGCCAGTTCGGTTCAGTAGCCCAGGGCTGAGTAGGGACAGGGCTCCCCAGGGCCCCGCCCAGATGCCTCGGGGTTCAGAGACTGCGAACCCTCCTCTCCCGCAGGAGCTTATGACTTCTGAGTCGGTATCTGGACCATCTCCTCTCTGGGCCAGTGACTCAGCCTATCATCTAGTCCACACCAGGCCACCACAGATGGGCCACTAATGCCACACAGCAGTGGCTCCTAGTCAGCAGCAGTTTGTCTCCCAGGGGACCTTCAGTTGGCCAAAGCCACTTCAGGTTGTCACACTGGGGAAATGGGGTGCTGACAACGGCTGAGCTGAGGCCAGGAGCGCCGCTCACCATCCCGCAGCGGCCAGGATGCCCCCAGGGGAGTAAGTCCACAGCGCTGAGGCTGGAAACCTCGCCCTGCAGGGGTGCAGTCTGAACAGCCTGAGGTCAGAACCCTAAACGGCTCTCCAAGGAGTTACGCTCTCCCAGGTCAAGACCTGCCCAAACCCGGCCCCGAAGACCAGACACCGAGACTCACCTCCCCCACGGAGCACGGGTGGCCGTTGGGACACGCTGTCAAAAGAACAACAGGACACATGTCGGCTGGATGGCCCACGGTTAAGGAAAGGAAGCTGACTCTCCTCCGCAGCCTGACCACGTCAGGACGGAGAGCGGGTGCCTGAGCTCGCTGGGGAGGAGCGCCCTGGGCCCGGCTCAATGAGGCAAAGAGAAACTAGGTTACAGGTCACACCGGGGTCACTTCTGGCGGTGGGATGCGTAGTACTTCATACCCTTCCGTCTCTTTGATTTGTTTTTACCATGAGCATGTTTTGTAATTAACTTTAAAGCTAGTTTGAAAGAATTATTTACTCAGGCAACCAAAATTTACATAAAATTGTGAGTCATGTTATTTTGTCTTCACATCTAGATTTCAAAAAACAACTGTCCTTGGGTCAAAAGCTTGGCTGCATTGTGGGCTGGCCCTTGACTGAGCCTGCGACGGGGCTCATATTCCAGGGAAAAGAAGTGCACCCTGGAGGGGCCCCTTGCCCACGACTGAGAAGTGCTCTAGATGGCTCACAGGCCCTTCATGGTCCGCAAAGGCACGAACAGCAGAAGATGACGATCATTTTGGGACGTTCAGAAACAAACCGTGTGGACCCCTGTTCTAAACCCATGCCTCACGTGGTTTTGGGGGCTCTGCAAAGCTCAGAGGGTTCCCTTCAGACGCCAGCACTTACTGTACCAGCGGACTCCTTCCAGATCCTTCCAATGTGTGGCTTGAGCCAGCAGGTCTTCAGGCATTGTGGGGAGAAAAGCTTCCTGAAAAGCCAAAAAAAGCAGAGACAGCTTGAGCTGAGTGAGCGCCCTGACTGGTCGCTGTCAGCAAGAGGCCTAGAACAAGAAAGGAAACATCTGGTTCTCTCTCTTCCTGACCCAAAAGCTCTCCAGGGAGAAGACGGAGCAGCTCTCCGTGAAGCAGAGGGCAAGGCTAGTGTCTCGCCACCAGGACTGAGGTGCCACGCGAGGCGGAGCGGACGGAGAATCTAGGAGGTGAGTTCCGGCGGCTCCCGGAGCACAGGCCCCGGCTCTGCAGGGACAAACGGCCAACGTCTTTCCTGGGAAAGTGGGTGGCAGACCCATCTTACCGCCATGCTGTCTGGGAAGAAGGCCAGATTCCTCAGGGGCTCTAGGACTCCGCCCTTCCCACAGAGGAGGACGGCAGCGGCATGGACAGCCATCTCTGTCACCGCCCCTTCGAGGCCGCCCTCCCCGGGGCCCGTCAGCAGCGGCAGAGTATTGGACACGAGGGACGTTGCAAAAAGTCTGATGTCAGGAGGAGAAAGGATCTCGTTCTCTTCGATGAATCTGTTCAGGGCCTCACATTGCTGGGAGGAAGAAAGGTCTGATATTAAAATACGCCAGAGAAAAACAGGATATGAAAGAAGCCAAAGATTGCCCTAAAGCTAGTCACACATTCTGATACCAAATACTTACCTATATCAAGGTAAATACAGTTCAGTTATCACCACTCGAGGAGAAAATTACCCAGAGAAGAGAATTCCCATCTACAAACAGCACCCCAGACCCAAGCGCTAATTTAGATGCTCTACTTTGTAAACATTAGCTTATGTTCTTGAGTTTCTCACTGCAATTCTGCAAGTTTTGGTGAAACTGAAGGCAGGCACCCAACACGAGAGACGCTGAAACTCACTGCCTTAAGAAAAACTATGGGAACTAGCCCATGTTTGTGGCTTTTACTTCTCTTCAAAAAAGTCCCTCCCAATAGCGAGACTCTGAACACAGCCTGAGTGCTCACTCACCTCCGGCTTAGGATGGAGATGCGTGTTTGGGGATCGGAACAGGACCGTCACCTCCCGGAAAAGCGCCAGCAGCAAGTGGGCTGCCTGTGGGGGGCAGGAGCTGGCCTGAAATGGCAAGGATATCAGGTGAGACTCGACCCCAGGCCAGTGTCCTATGTGAGCCATACATGAACACAGTGGATCGGCCCTTAAGTCACAGAGGGAGTGGGGGGCCTTTCCCAAGACCTTCGTGCCCAGGACCCTGCACCTCAACAACCACCTCCTGGCAAACACCTGTCACAGCACAGCTCACAAATGTTCTTACAGGAAGTGCAATGCGCTTTGACCAGGTGGCGTCTGACCGGGAACGGAATCCACCCTCTTCTGTTTCTGGCTACCTCACTGGTCACAGTGGGGACAGGATGTCTGTCCCCCTCTCCCTGGCACAGTGCCAGGGCAAACGAGGAGGAAGGAAGCCAGACCAGAGAGAACAAGATGAGATTCGACACCCCTGGACCCATTAAAGCAGGTGCACACCCAGGCACACGCATGCACATGCGTGGATAGGAATTTGCTAGCTGTGCCGTGCTCATAGCAGAGTGACCTTGGAGGGAGGGAATTTCCACTGGGTTTCATAGGAACTAACAGACATAAACAATCAGAAAGGAGCTCTGATGGCCTTGCCAGGTCAGCAAGGCTGAGTAGATCTGTCTGCCCACTCAGCTATTCTCCTGTTCAGGCCAGGCGTGCAGAGGCCACGGGCCTAGGACTCCCAGTGCCACATGTCGCTCTATGGAGCTCTCCCATTGTACCGTGTGACGTCAGGGAGGTGGGTGGCGGGCTCTGTGGGGTGTCATTTGTGTGACGAGAACCCGCCCTACCTCCAGAGCAGTGACGATCGCCAGGGGCTTGCATTCCAGGACGGCTTTGCCCACCGCGTCACGAAGGGCTTTGTATTCATCTCCATGCACTAGGAATCGATCCATCTGGCCCGGGTAGTCCTTCTGCAACCGCAGGAACACAGGGTTACTCACAGTGGGGACAGGGGAGGCATGTCTAGTGAAGAACTCAACAGGGAAAGGGACCAGGTGATCATTACAGGCTTAAAGGCAGCTGAGCTGGGCTTCCCACAGTCCTCCGCTCTGTCTGGGGAGCACGTCCTCCGTGCTCGATGAAGAGGGCAAGTGGATGGACACTGGGAGGGGCGATGCCAACCTGGGGCCGCTCTCCCCCCTATCCCCAGAGCAGGCCACCAAACGTTGGTGACTTCAACTATGCTGACTCAGAGCTCCAACTGATAGTAGAGAAAAGCCAGGACTTGTAGTGCCATTTTTGTGACCCTAGGACGGTACAACTTCCTCCCTTCTGAGCACTAGCAGAGAAGCAGACAGGCCCCAAAGCCACAAGCCCTGCAGCTCTGTGCTCCTTGGCTTTCCTTCTCTTTAGCCTCTGCCTGTCGACAATACGAGGGCTCGTTCTGCTCAATCACTTCAAGTCTGCAGAACACAGAGCTGCAGAATCATTCCGCACCCCGTGTTGACCTGGACCAGAGGGGACGCCTACAGAAGCCTTGCAGGTGCAAACACCACCGTTCCAATCTGCACAGTCTAAGACAGCACACAGGCTGGGTCAAACCAGCAAATGACTGGAACAGAGGCACACATTTTCCTTGGCGGATATGGGAGGTCCGGGGAGGGATCAGAGCACCCGCCCTGTTGTGCCGGCCCCCTAGGGTTTCCGGACTCACTGCTCACCTGCTGGGCAATGACCTCCTTGGGAAACACCCACTGGGCTGGGTGGCCCTGTCTGGAGAAGCTCTGCACACACTCCATCCCCTGCTGGCTGGTGAGCTTCCTGACCAGGTACACGCGGAACCAGTCGTTCCCGGCCTCGGCGCAGAAGTACTGCACCTGCCCCAGGTAGGAGTGCTTTTCCTCAGCCATCTCTGCAGGGGCCAACAAGAAGGCGTGAGCCGCGGGGGCTAAGAACGTGCGCTCGCCAGCTGTCAAGGACACGGAGCTGGTGTGAAGGCCTGGGGCTGCTCTTTAGGAAATCATGGTAAGGAAACTAGGAGGGGTCACTGGAGGGCCGGTAATACTCTGAGAACCACTTTTCCACATGTCCTGGGATTCTAAAGAACAGGGTGTCTCAGCCTGAGTTAGAGAGAGGTGCAAAGCAGACCTGCGGAGCCCTCCTGAAGCTCAGAGAGGAAGTCAGAAGCCCTGTCCAGGCAGAGGCGGATCCTGGCCACGTCCTGCAGGCGCTCCACAGAGGCCTGGCAGGCAGGCTCCCGGCCCAGCCCCATGGAGGCGTACGTTCTGAGGAACTGGCCCTCCTCCCTCAGCCGTCTCAGCCCAGCGCTTGCAGAGAGGGCGGTGTGCTTCTCATGCATGGAATCCTAGGGGGCCAAGGACCGAAGAAAAGCATGTCATTCCTTCTCGTACAACAGGCCCCAGTCTCCCAGAATTTCCAGTCACACTGTGGAAAATAAAGGATGAAGAATACCGTGTAGGTTTGGGTGTAAATTTTCTGTATCATTTTGTAGCATCCTTCTTATTTTAGGGGTGAGACAAAGAAGAAAAAGAAAACCAGGAGGAAAACATTTTGTATAATCTTATTACTTTTATATGCATTGTAGAATCTTTGGAAGCAAACAAAAATACAAAGAGAATTAAAAAGTATTCACAGCCTCAGCGCCTGGAGGTAAGTACTGTCGGGAGGGGTGGTATATACCAGGCTGCTCTTTCCTCACTCGCACGCACATAAATGGCCATCTATGCAACGACTGAGGGTAAAAGCGATGGTTCTGAAACCCCTTTCTTCTCCACGGAAGAGAGCACCTGCTAATTTTACCAGCTACGATTATATTCTGTAAATTTTCCGAAACACTTTTCCATGGCTCACACCAGTGACTCAGACAGTTTGCGGGAAGGGACATAGGACAGCGACAGCGTACCTCCAGGCAGTTGGTGACGAGCAGGTACAGTTCACTTTTATCTTCAGTTATGCATGCCTTCTCTTCTAACAGGGACAAGTAGGTCTGAATATAATCTTTTACTTCATGGAAGCTATAGCAAGAGAAATGTTGTACCTGGTTATCTCAGGTCTGGAAGCTCAGTTTCCCAAAGGAAATAAAAAGCTCTCTCTCTACCCTCCACCTACTTATCTATCCATCTCTCTCTTTCTCTATTAATATATACCCACGCATGTATATACAGTTTATAACATGATTTGACTGAAAATATTTTAGCACAATACTAGAGGTATATGAGCCTGTATTTTAGACCAGCTGTTCTTAAACAACACTTCGGTCTCAGGGTTCCTTTTCAGTCTTAAACATTACTGAGACCCTGAAAGAGCTTTTGTTCACATGGGTTACATCTGTCAATGTTTAGATTTTTAGGTATTTAATATCTATCCCTAATTAGAAATTAAAACAAAAATTTTGAAATATTTATCAATTCATTAAAAAAAATAATAAACCTATTACATGTCAAAATAGGTAACATTAAAAAACTCTTTTCCAAAAGCAAAAATTAATTAGTAATGAGTGACTTTGTTTTTCATTCCTGCAAATCTTTTTAGCGCCCCTTTGCGTGTGCTGTATTGATGTATATGATGTTGATCTGCTCTCACGCACTACATAGTTGGAAAAGGGAGAAATATTTTAATCGTCTTAGATAATTGTGGATACTCTTTTTTGATACTGTACCAGAACCTGACAAATAATTTCTAAGGATCGGCTGCAACGTGCAATCTAGAACCAGATCAATGCATTTTTCATGGTCAGTTACATTCAATCAAATGGTCTACCTTGTATTTTAAAAGTACAATGCATTTTTTTTTAACCAGCACATGATTTTGTGACATCAAGCACTGGTCATCTGGAAAACGCTGGTTCACTGAGCTATGCAGATCTTGCAAATGTGTGTGTTGACACATTTTTATTCTACAGTATATTTTTTAAAACCTCACATACATTAGTATCACCACCCATGCCATTAAAAGCTAACCAGCTCATGGTGGAGGGTATAGGTTTTCCAAAATGTCGGTATTTGCTTCAAAGCTTGAATTTTACCACTACCACCACCGGTTTCCCTCGATGTGACAGGCCCACTTCACTTGTTCTCAAGAAAAGGCCAGCTGAACACCTGGGGCCACGTAACTGCAGCCAGGCACACGTACCCCAGGAAGAAAGAGGTCCGCCGAGCACAGAACGCAAGATGCCCGCGTGCCACCGCCCCTTGGTGACGATGAGGCCCGGGGTGCGGTGAGGGTTTTGTGCACACTTCCCATTTTGACAGAATATTAAAAAGTCACATCCTCAAGGGAGGATATTTAGTAAAATCAATCCTTTTTAGAGCCCCAAGGACATCATTAAGTGACAGTAGTCAGGTGCTACTGGCTTTTGCACGCCAGGCCTGGCGGTCAGGGGCAGGACACCCTCTGCAACCACACGGGCAGCAGCAGGTCCAGGCCAGGTGCTAGCTCGGCGCTGTAAACATCATTTTGGCCTTGGGCTGCCCAGAGGTCCTCAGCCTGGCGCCAAGAGCCCCACTACAAGTGGACATCCATGTGGCCCAGGCAGACGCAGGGGCCCACAGCCAGCGGGTGCCGTGCGGCCAGACGGTGTGGTGGCGCCCCGCCACGGGTCCAGAGCCCGAGCAACGAGGACGCCGCGTGGAGTCAGGTCTGCTTTGTTGCATGGTTGGCCTGGAGAGCTGCCGTGCACGTTTCCACAGACTGTCCAAGGCCAGCCTGCTCAGCCCCTATCGCACAGAAGTGCCCCAACGGCTAGAGTAAAGGACACAAGCATTTCTCAACCCAGAGAATGACAAGGTGGATTTTTAAATGGTGGTTTACATCTTAAGATGTTTATCTTATTGTCAGTCCCATAATTTTTAGTCTCTAAATATTTATGAGCAAAATGTTTGCCTTGTAAGTACCATTTCTACTCACGTTATCATGTCTACACTACGTCAAGATGCACGCATACATACAATGACATGGCCATTTCTCTAAGCAAAGAAATTCAAATGAGCACAGATTTCACACATTTGTCAAAATCAATAAAAACCACTTAACATCCAAAGAGGTTCATTTCAGATTTCAAGTTAACTCTACCTATATGCCTTAAAAGCCTTGAAAGTATAGCAAGATGGTAGTTCTGTAGAAAGACATGGTAAGAGCATTTGATTGGTGAATCCTCAGGAATCCTGTATGAACAGACTATTTCAGCCATGTTGGAAAAAAGCAAAATGTTTCTGTCTAGCAAGAATGCAGCAGACCCACGTTTTAGACCTAAACCTCATCTCCATACTGAGTCTCTTGTGGACACTAAAGTCAGTAATGGTTGTTTCTGTCCAAACTCTCCTTCCAGCATCCTGATTTCCCCATCACCTAAGCACACAATCAAGTCAGACAGCAGGCTCCATATCCAAGCATCTTCTGAAAGATGCCTTCTGCATTCTAAGCATTTTCTGTAATAGCACAATTTGACCAGACCATTGAGCTTGGGCACCACGTGAGCTTCTCTGTCTCTTTATAGAATCAGAGACATCTAAGAACTGAAACAAAATGTAGACTACATCTAGGACAATGAGGGTGAGGGAGATTCCAAGCTCCCATCCTACAAATCTCCAAACTAGAAAGCGGCGGAAGGCAGGATGGAACCACAGACTTCTGACTCCGGGTGCCCACGTTTCACAGCACCCCACTCCTCTCCCACCACCTGTTTTCTTCTTCCTAACAACATGCTTGCGGCTGTGCTGAGCTCATCTGCCTGTACGTGAAGATGTCAAACACACAGCCAATACAGACACACATACCAGGTGCTCTCTCCCTGAAAAAGCCCCCCCCCCCACAGTGACGTGACCACTAGTCCTCTGAGAAATGCCCAGCAGCAAAGGAAAGTCTGCAATGAGGAGCAAAGAAACCAAGGTTTTCTGGGGGCAAACCCCAGGTCCACGGTGCTCACCTGTACTTCAAAAGCAGCTTTAGGACCACGGAGCGGATGACAGGGGTCCTATCCACGACGTCGTCGAAAGGGGAGAGAGATTTTGTGTGTTCACGGTATCCTTAGGACACAAAGGGAAACATACCTCCTTGTTTACATCAGACACACAAAAGTGAGACGAAGCTCTGAATGTGTCGGTCTGTAAGAAGAGAGCAACTTACTTTGGGAAGCATCTCTTAAGAACTCCTTTTTTACGAAGAGTAAAGAGAGCAGATCATTGACCACACTCTTCTGCGGTGGGGAGTTATCTTTGAAGCACACGGTGGAAATGAGGTCCACGAAGAAACTGTTGCACAGCTGTCGGAAGCAGGAGTGTTTCTCAATGGCATTCCTTGGGGATGGTCGAAAAACACGGTCAGAAGGTGCAGAGCACGTGTTCCAGAATCCCTCCACACAGAACGCTTGGGGCTTTAGACAGCTTTTTGTTTTTGTGAGTACAGTGATGCAAGTATCTCTTTACATTGATTAGAGCTGGTCTTTAAAACTGCAACAGTGTGAAGAGGCCTCTCGTTCCAGGAACACTTGGATCATCTGGACCAGCCAGACTGTAATATCCTAAAAGCCTGTCAATGAGCCTGTCCCCTGGCTCGCCTGGGCTCCACTTGGAGGAGCCTTCGGAGGACTGAGCAGAGCTGAGGACGGCCACGCCCGCAGAGCTCCTGCCCGAGGAGATCGAGCCTCGCTTCAGGTCGCGGGACGTGAACGGCACTTATGCGTCAAGAGGATGAACCAGTTGCTCAAAATTCCTTGGGTCTCTTGTGACAGTTTTATTTCGTTTATAACTTTCTGGCTTATTTTCTCTAATTTTGCTGTCTCCCCGATCCATATGCAGGTGTGTCCTGGGAAAGAGTAACTCTCTCGCTCACCTTTTTTATAAAAGGTGTTTATAAAGGCCAGTAAGTAGCAACCTCTCAGAATAATTCCCTCAAGTCAGGTTTTCTCACCTCAATAGTTGATATTCTGAATACTGTGAGTTTATATTCTGAATACTATATTTGTAAAAGAGGAAGAGGATAAAAGAAGGCTTTCTTAGGAGAAAGGGTGTTTTACCTGTGCTCTTGGGAAACCACTGGAGAGAAATTTTCTGGCAAGTCAGCTAAACACAGGGTGCACCTCGTGTCCCCTTGGGTGAGCAAGGTTTTCATGCAACGCAGGCAGTGCACATGGTCACAGGGCAGGCAGACAGGATCCTGGGCGTCTTCCAGGCAGATGGGGCATGGCTGAACCCCAAACCTAGAATTCAACAGGGCTGGTCAGTGTGGACGCAGAGAAGCTGGCTGCAAGAAGAGAAAAATACCAAAGGTTCACAATGCATTCCCTCCCTCGCGGAGCCAGACCAAGATCTCACCTGGAGAAGGTCCTGCTGGCCTGGTCCTTACATTTACAAAGAGTGGTCATCACCGCCACAAAAGGCCTGTGGGTCTTGATGTCAGAGTTCTCCTCCAGACACTGAGGGAGAAAGGCGGGGAGGAGGGAGGTGACCGGCTGGAGGCCGGGCGGAGGTCCACCAGGCGGGTGTGCTCCCCCAGGGCAACACAGCGCCCATGCGCACACCCTGCCCAGGCTGGACGCAGGACGGCGCGTGCAGGACAGGGCTCTGCCCTTCACTTAGCAGCTCCCTTAACCTGGGGCCCTTTGTGATTCTGCTTTCGGAAGGACGGCATCCTCAACTTGACGATTTTCCCCCTCTTCCTCTCCTTTTCTTTGAACGTCTGCCCCTCCTCCCACATGACGCCTCTTGCAGTTTAGATGATCATACAGGGACCGATCATCTGTGTGTCCACCACCAAGTGTAAGAAATCTTGGTGTTTGGGAATATTTGCTTTTGGTCATTTTTTTAAAGAAACAAAACATCACAGATAGAGCTGCTAGAAATGCTCACGTCACGAACCCAGAGTGAGGTAGAGGCCAGCCTCTAAGGAGAGGCCATGGTTACTGAAGGGTGGTCAGAGACACAGGAACTTTTTCTGCAGGGGCACTGCCCTATGCATCACTAAGCCTATTGGGGTGCCACGCGGCAGAGTCACGAGGGCTCCCTGCAACCCTGGTCCACCGGCAGCACCGCCTTTAGAGGTCCAGGACCCTGGTGGCCTTCTCGTGCATTCCGCCCCTGACCGTGGCAGTGGTCGGCAGCTCTGGCCAGGCTGTCGGTCCAGCCCAGGTGGGGCTGGGCCCTCAGCCTCCCAGGGTGTGGAAGCACATTCTCTGCACGGCCAACTTCTGTTCCCACCCTGGAGCCCTGAACCACAGACCCTGACCCAGCATGGAACACGTCGTCACACAATTAAACGTTGACCTGCAGCGGCCTCTATGAGGAGGCCACTTTCCTTTGCACTTCTAGATAAAATCAGCAGCAGCTGATTGTAAAGGGTTGCGCCAGCCTGCAGGAGAACGTCTGGTGATGCCTCTCTGTCTCCATCCCAGAAGGAAGCCAGCCGCACACTCACCTTGCTCAGCAGGAAGACGTACTCGGTCACCAGCGGGCACAGCTCGGGAAGCTGGCTCTCGGTCTCCAGGAGCACATGCTCCACAAAAAGAGCAATGGAAAAAATACGATTCCAGTGGGTTCTGTCAGGAGAGGAGAGTCACTGGCTCAGCCAGGGGCAAAGCACCTGAGACAGGAGCGAGTGAGGGGCAGCAGCTCCCCACACAGGAGGTGAAAGATAAGCAGAGGCTCAGCTGCACAGGTGGAGTCACACAGAGGTCCCTGGCCACGGCCACTGGGCCTCTGCCGCCTCGAGGGCCTGCTGCTTCCCGCCTCGGGGTCCCACATCCTGAACCTCAGCCTTTGCCTGGTGGGTCCCTGCAGCCCTGAACGGCCAGAACAGGACTCTCCCGGGAAGCCTGCCCTGACTGCTGGCCTCTCTGCAGGGCCTGCCTCTGCCGTCCCGCTGGGTCCCTTCCAGCTGCCCCATCACAGACTCCCTCCTGTGCCTCGCAATGACCACTTGCCTTCCTGTTCCCCCAGTACTCCCTGCACCCCTGAATGCAGAGCCTTCCTCTTCTCCATGTCCCTAGTGTCGACATGGTGCCTGGCACCTGTTGAGGGGTCACCTGGGCCTCACCTGACTTCCCCGACGATGGCTGTGGCCCTGCTCCCGCTGCCCTGCATGTACCCGTCCGAGCAGAGGAGCTCCATCGGCATGGCGAGTCTCTTCACCAGCTGCAGCCAGGCCTGGGGACTGGGCTTCAGGATGTCTCTGATCAGCATTTCAGCACAAGCCATGGCTACATAGACGTCCAGAATCTAGGGAGACAGAGGACAGGCCAAGGACTGAGCAGCCCCGCGGAAGGGGAGCTGCTCCGGACCCTGAGTCCAGAGGCCCGGCGGTGGGCCCGGGGCATTTTGGGGCCCTCGGCTCCAGCTGTCCTGGGACAGAAGAGACACTGGCTATAGCTGTGCTCTGCCAGCTCTGAGCTTCCCCGGGAGGAAGTCCCCAGCCGGAACACAGCCCACAAGCTTCCCTCTTCTAGGGCGGCCCTGGGAGCAGCCTCCCACCCAAGCAAGGCAGGCCAGGCCTGGGCTGAAGGCACTGACTGTCCCCATCGGGGGGCCATACCAACTCATGTCCAGAGCCATAGTCGTGTAAGGCTTCTGGGCTGAACAGAGCCTGTGGAATTTGGGGACAGATAGTCAGGATTCTGGAGAAGTTCTGCAGCCGGCTCCTGAAATGCTGGTAGGCCAGGTGCACCCATGGTAAAGAAAGCTTCTCCTCTGGCTGCTCCGCCTTTAACTGATTGATGCAGGACGACAGAGCCATGTGCAAAACCTGGGACCAAAAACAAGCTTTTACTCTGTGTCTGCAAATCACAACACACACACACATACACGTTTTCCCTTTGGAAAATGTAAACTATTCAAAAAATGACAAAAAAGAAACTTAAAAACCACACGCAACATCACTACCCCTAGTTCACTTCTCGGTGTCCTCTTTTCTAGGCATCTTCATAACCACACCTCTCCCCGCTGCTGTCCCCAAAGCAGGATCACAGGGTAGTTCTCATTTTTTTCACTTAACATTGCGAGCATCTCTTTTATCACTGAGTATATTTGAAGAGCACCATGGTTTTTAATGCTTGCACAATAATCGATCAAATGGCTATGCTTTAATTTGTCCAACCTTTATTTTTGAACAAGTAAATTGTTTTCTATTTCTGATCTTAGAAATAAAGTCGAAAAGAACATTCCTGTGCATAAACTACTTAGCCGCGTCTGCAGGAATGTCTCAGGACAGAATCACCCGTTCAGATGGGTGAGGTTTTGGTCACCCTGCCAGGCCTGTGCCGGTGCCCCATGCTGTCGACAATGGAAGAACTCCGGCCTTTTTAAAAAATCACTTCTGTCACGTGGACAGCCGAGACAGTGTCTAAAAACTGCTCATGTTCTGCTGGTTTACCAGTGAGGCTGAACAGTTTTGCCAACGTTTTCTGGATGTCTATATAATTATTCTGTTAACAGTTGGTTTATAATTGTCACCCATTTCTTAAAAACAGGGTTTTCTTATTGATCCCTAAGAATACGGGCCCTTCGCTGTACCGCGTGTCCTCCTCAGACTCGTCCCCATCGTGACAGCCTCCCTCCGCCCGGAGCGGCGCTCACCAGCAGCTCCTGCTGAGAGGACACTGTCACGGTCAGCAGCAGGAAGTCCTGCAAGTAGCCCTGGAGCAGCTCGGCCTGCTGCCGCGCACCGAGCTGGGACAGAAAGCTGCCCAGCGGCGTCTGCTGGAAGATTTCCACCAACTTGTTTGACTGCCCTGCAGAGAGACCAGGAACGGCTTGAGTGAGGTGGCAGCCCCATGTTCCCCTTACATTCTGAATGCCCAGCTTCCTTGGCAAAAGGCAGCCGCCCTGTAAATGTATACGGTAAAGTTTCTGCTGAGTGGAAGCTCGCAGATTTTATGATCATCTCTAGACACATTATTTTTCCAGTGGGACAACAGAAATAAAGGCAGGGCAGATACTAATTTCAGTCACAAACAGCCTCGCTAGCTCCAAACAGCTAAAATGATCAGAAACAGACCAGGTTTTACACCTCTCAAGTCATACTGCGTCTCAGAAGCCCTCGGGTACAAGAGATTCAATAATGAGAGGGCTGCTCTTGGGGGGCTGGGGCCACGTGCTGCTCAAACCAGAAGACCCGCCCTCAGTGGTGTCACCGTCAGAGGGCAGGGCCAGCCAGGGTGTGGCCCTGAAAAAGGAAATACTCTTTCCCCAGGACAGAGGCTGTTTCACGTTTGTGCAGAAAAAGTGGCGGAATGCTTTCCTAGGAAAGTAAGCTCATTTTCAAGCATTTTGACCTGTATTTTTTTAAGGCAGAACTGTAAGTAAATTTTGAAGACATTATTTCATGTACAAAAGATGACTTTTCCCTAAGCACTGTTACACCTTCCTATAATGCCCGTGGCCCATAATCTCTGTGGCACGTGGCAGCACCGCACTGCTGGGGGTCCTGGAGGGACCTGGCAGCTCAGTCTGGACGGTCACGGATGCCTGCTGAGAACGGCTCAGCTGGGGACACCTCCCGAGTCCCAGCAGCCCAGCTGCACAGGAGCCTCCGAACGGGAGCCACCAGCTCACGGCAGAGGGACTGGTTCTCCTTCCGGGACCTGTCCATCTCCACTGGACCCCTGGGCTCACCTTCAGCCCCTGTGATGTACTGAGCCTGGATCCACAGCTCCTCCAAATAGTCCCGGATTCTCCAGCTAAACGGGACGCTGCTGCAGGTGTCCCAGGAGAGGTTCATGTGGTTTTGCACCATGATGTACGGCATCTCACCTCTGGATCTGCTACCAGGCGAAGGAGGACAGAGGACACAGTGAGGGAGACGTCTCAAGACACAAGATCCACCCCGAGGCCAGTGCGCCTCGATGCTGTAGAGCCAGGTGCCCGAGGCTTAGTCAGCCCGCCCGAATGCCTCACAGCCCAGGCTTACAAAGGAACTCCAGGGCGACCTGGGTCATCTCTTTGTTTGGCAGACAAAATAAAACCAATCCGAGGCTGGGAGGGGCCGAGGAGGTTCCCAGGCTTGGCAGAACCGGGCCGCATGGCGCCTGGATGCCGGTGCCCTGAACGCACACACAGGGAACTAGACATCGAGTTCTTGCTCTCATGGCCCTTCTAAGGGCGTGTCTCTGCTGGAGATTTGGGATTCCATTTACCTGTCGGTTCTTCATCAACCGACACTCCAGAATCAAACCCCCCCGACGTCCAAGTAGGGAGGCCAGCTGAGCTCGACCCGCACAAGAGCAGGCCTAGGGAC